TTCTGACTTGATGCAATCAGCACATCATCTAAAAACAAGGGCATCTGGAGGGCCTAGTCCATAGGTTCCCACAGTGGGCAATACCGCCCTCTACAGGGCGCTGGAACAACCCAGGCGGGGTGGTAGTAGCCTCAATTGCAACTGGGGGGCATTGAATAAAAACAAGGGGGGCAGTGGAAGCATAAGGAAGGAAAAGCATTTTGAAAAGCCATTCATACGTTTTATCCGTTGTGTAACAGTTATAGTCATAATGATTGCATTGTTTTCCAAATAAACACACAAAATGCAAGTTATAACTGATCAGTGGTCAAGTCCACCGACAAGTCTTAACAAGCAAGTGTCGGCAGCTGAGCATGTCAAACATTGTCAGGAAGTCCAGCATGTATTGGCAGGAATATGTGAGTGTAATGACTTGTTGACGATGATACTAAATGGTTACATGACGCAATACTGCATCATCAAAATTTCAAGGCAGGAAAACTCCACAAATTTACAATAAATTATTAAATTTAAGATGTGTTATTTCAAAAAATATATATTTTTTGAAATAACACCAATTTAAAAAAAAGTTATAGTGTTAAAGAAAGTAGATTTCCATTTGACATCAATAGTCACTGAAGAGTTATCTCTGGTTGCACTTATCAAGGAATCTTGTATGACATTAACATATGGACAATGGGACACTGGGGTAGGACTTGGGAGGGCGTATCACAAAATCAGTTAGTGTTCCTAAGACAGTGTATTTTCTGATGTTAAATACAAACACATACACACATCATATTTAAGAGGGTATTAGGCAGGACACGAATGAAGATATGACACTTCCCCAACCTACCACTTCCTGGAGGTAGAAGGTACAAAGATGTTACACATTACATATTTTTGACTCTAAATGTATCGACCAGTTATGCTTTCTTCCTGTCTAAAAATATCATATAGGACGGTTCTCTGGGACAGGGATGGGGAGGGTTATGTAAGATGACTATTATGATGTAAGAAACAGAAAATATCAACAAAAACTTATTTTTAAAATGTGCTATGGTGGCCAAGGGATTAAAGTAGTGGCTGAAATAGACCTGAATTAAGGACCAGCTCAAAAACAAGGATTATTTAATAATGCACTAAGTTTGAGAACTGTTCTTCTATTTCCTCCCTAATATTTCATTGGCAGATGTGACAACAGTATAACCCAAGCTGATTATCTGAGAACTGTTAGACAATTCAAGATATGTGAGAAAAATGGAGATGAATTATGGACCCTTCTCTGACATAAAACAAAAGTTAGAATCTAGAGATATTGTCCTCAAAATGTGCTATGAAGAAGTTAGAGCTCAAAGTATATATGTGGTAAAAGTCTATAGGAGGGGTGTTTTTTGGGGAAGGGCAGAATGGTACAGGGAGATATGATGATGCATTTTGCATCCTGGGGAAGGAGAGTACTACATATATAGGTCCTGAGAGGTATCTGGAAGATTGAGTTGGGAACAATCTACTACTTGCTTCTGAGTCATGAGGGCCAATAAAACTTCTCTGGTGCATCTCTGAAAGTCACATCTCTATAGAAAGTGGAGGCATTGCCTGGAAAATGGGACTGAAGGTTGATAGAATGCACACTTTTCAAATTTTTTAAAAAATATTTTTGCCATGAAAATAGATGCCTCAGTCTCCTCGTCCTGGCTCTGAGTGATCCCTGCCTTGAGAGGTAGTTATTTACATAATTCTATTCAGGAATCTAACCCTAACCCTTATCTTCTATGTTTATAGAAATGGGCCTACTTCCTGCAGGGCAAATTCTCCATTTTGAAACTCCATGTAGCAAACACTGATAATCTGTAAATTGTTGTGCACACTCAAAAAACAGTACAAGACAAGGGCTAAAGTATGTCACAAGTGATTAAACAGAAAGTCTTTGTAATGGACTATCTATACTTTAGCGTAATAAAAATAAATTCATGTTGATGCTTGTAAACTTTTTATTACTTCTAAGTCTATGCTGTACTAAAAAAAAATCACCTTACAGAATCCTAAAAATGTGATTTTTTTTGCCATATTTACTTTTATTATTCTTTATGAGGCATCAACATACAGAGCAAAGCAGGAGAGACAGTGGTAGCAGTATAGAATACACATTCTTTTCCTAGGCTAGACACTCCAAATATTGCCATAGTTCTTTAACTTTCACCCATCCTCCTTGTTTTCAGTCTCTACCTCCAAATACTGGGAGTTGAAGGCAGCTAGGATAATGAAGGGATAGAACTGTCCCCATCCCACTGACAATCTTGAACCCCGACCCCTACCCCAGTCCATGGTTACTTTAGACATGGAAAAACATTTTCCCCTAAGAGAAAAAAGCTAAAATTTTAAATGCTTTCCAATTTACATAAACGAAAACAACGCTTATTCCTTTGACATACCCAAAATGGTAAAATTCTGTCTTTCCCTACCGTATTTTTTTCCTCTATCACAGTTTTCCTTTAATTTACATGCTATATCGATCTAAAGTATTTTTTTTTTACTCCTTGATCTGTTTCTTATTTTAAAAGCCAAATATTTCTGTCAAAACTAAAACATTTATTAGACATGGTGGGGCAGACCTGTAATCTTTGCCTGGGGGAGTCTCATGTTGATGTACCACTTAAACTTAGGAGTTCTAAGTTGCAGTAGGGCTAAAGGCAATCACGGGTCTACACTACTTTCTGGTAGCAATATGGTGAGCCAGCAGCGGATAGAGGAGAAGGGACGGGAGAATCTGGTAGCATCAGAAGGGAAGAATCAGTCCACGTCAGAAACTGCAGCTTCCACACTGATCAACAGTGGAATCAGGCCAAGGTCCTTGTGTAGCTATTGCACTTCCAGCTTGGGCAAGATGGAGATTCACTCTCAATTTTTTTTTTTTTAAGTAAGTTCCTTCCTCTTTATAGCCACTGATTACTTTCTATGCTGTAGTCCAAAGAGACACAATAGCCCAACACTCCTAGCACAACGGAGGCACTGGGACATTTTTTGTGGCAGACACTTGCCAATAACTATTATTTTAGATGAAAGCATTTATTCAGCACTCATTTTGTTTAATGCACACACACTAGATACTCAGGCCTTTGGAAATAAAATGTTAATAAAAACTGAAAACATAGAAAAGACTAATAAATATCTGCAAGGGCATACAGATGTCTTTAGAAACTTAAGAGGTTGGCAGCCATTACCTTATGTACAATAGTAAATAGTTTCATCCTTATAATTTTATCATTCTTTTTTTTTTCTTTAGGCAATTGGGGTTAAGTGACTTGCCCAAGGTCATACAGTTAGTGTCAAGTGTTTGGTCTGAGGCCAGATTTGAACTCAGGTCCTCCTGACTTCAGGGCTCGTACTCTATCCACTGCACCATCTAGCCGCCCCCATCCTTGTAATTTTACACAAAATGTTTTTATACTAAATAAAAATTATGTGTATATTTGTATGTGTATACATATATACATACACACACACACACACACACACGTGTGTGTGTGTGTGTATATCCTATTAAAGTTAAGCTCTGGTTGGTTCTAAAACTTACTGATGTCCAAACCTGGTGCCACATGACATTAATCTATAGAGTCCCAGGACCAGACTGGCTAGGTTTGGAAAGGCTCACCAGGTGATTAACCTTTCTTTCACCATAGCAACTCATGAAATGGATAAAATGTTAAATGCATAAAGAAGGTATGATAACATTTTACCCATCTGGATCTTTGTGACATGACAAACTTTCCTTATCTGGAGAACTTTTCAAGATTCAAGAAGTAAGCAAAAAGGCCTTTGAGTAGCAAAATATAATTAATGCTCCAAAGTGCCTCAAGTCCTCATTCTAATTCAAAGAAACTTGTGCAGCTAGCAGCTTTGCAAACCCACAGATGAAGGCTGGAAATAGGAAATTAAATGGGGGATAGGATGGAAAAAAGAGATATGGGTAGTATGGGATATTAAAGGCTATATTATAGGTAGGCAAAGAAAAATTTTTAAAACTTAAGACAAAAAGCAGTTCAGTTTGAATCCCTCTAGCATAGGAGCCAAGTAGCTATTTATATACAACTTTCCATACTTTAACAAGTCCTAGTTAGAACTCAAGGGTAGGGGCATATCTATCATTATATTTTGACAGAATACAAAAATGGATATTCATAATGATGACCTTGAGTCTAAGAATGGTTTAATTATGTTCAGGGTCAGGGAAGTATGTAAAACATTTTAGAAAAGTTTCCAAGAAATATGGTTCCCATAAAAATCAACTTTGGCACTTCAACAGATAAGCTTTCAGAAAATTTGGCTGACCAAGTTCATTCCTCAAGGTTCTCAGAAGGTTGTCACTTTCTTGTATAATTTCTAAAAAAAATTCCAATTAACAAGACAAAAACCTACAACTTCAATTCATTAATGATTAAAAAACTCAAGAAATTCAATAGTAAGTCTGATTATTAAAATATTGTTTGGGAAATTATGGTAAAACATTTTAAAAGGAAAAGTGAACATTTTAAGAAGGGAAAAATTTACAGAAAATATGCTATATCAGTCATATGTGTCAGTGCATTTTTTATAAAATGAAGTACCAAAGCAGTCACAATAATTCTACCAGTCTTCCAAGAGGACTGATCATTGATTTACCTTTCTTCCAATTTGTTATGTGAACTGTTCTTTATGGAAACCAAACTTTTATAAATGTTGGCTATCACTAACCTTCACTAGCCTATTTCATTTCATTACAGGAATTTACAAATGAGCTCTGTCATCTTTCCTAAGAAAACCCCCTGCTATCTTTCATCTTCTTCACATCTTCTATCCACCAAAGTTCAATGTTTCACTCTTCTACATTTTTCCTTACAGCTGAAATGGGAAATTTGCCAGAAAAATCAAACTGCCTACCCTCCTTTAGGATAAGAAAAAGTATGGAAATTATGGCAACCAATTATTTCTTGTACAATAAGGAGGGTCAGATGAACATTCAATTATGGGGGAAGTACAGATTTCTGTAAAAGTTATTTTAATGCAGACACTGAAAATACCATGGAAGTAAACCACATAAGACAAAATTTTTACTACATGAACAAAGCTAGCACCTTCCCAACCCCAAACTTGTCCATCAAGCTTGAAGCAGTAAATGCCATCCAGAAGTATTCAGCCACCACTGTAAGATAAAAAAATTAAAAAATAAAAATTAAGTTTTGAATAGATATTTTATTTTAGCCAATCAAAATAAAACAAAATTTAAAAAAAATCATATTTTATACAAATGAAAGGTTATTATTTCAGAGACAGCCTTCACATTAACACAAGAAACCCAATATACAATGTCATTCACTCATTCACTTATCTAAACATTTATTGAGCACGATAGGCCATAAAGAATAGTTTTAATAGCCAAAAGGTACCTCAGAGATCTAGACTAGTAGATCAAGGGTATGCCAATGACGTTTTAGCAAAGCTTCTTATAATATTCTCAAAGATTTACATATGAACTTGAGAACATTATAATAAAGTGATGTTAGAGAAAATGGATCTCTCTGGAAATGCTAGTAAAATAAATTCTAGGAAGTCAGATTATAATCTGACTTCCTAGAATTTATTTTAACATGTACATATACGTATGTACGTGTGTGTATGTATAATATGTACATATACATGTATGTATATATGTATGTACGCACATGAATTGTGGATCATGGGAAAATAATATCCATTTTTTCTGTCTGCCTGTTTTGACAAGGGAAAAAGCTGCCTTGTGGCAAAAAGGTTAGCATAATCAAGACTAGCTTAAAAGGTCTGTTCCATAGTTTGAAATACAGTTTGAAGTTTATCAACAAAAACATATTTTAAGACTTTATTATAATCACAAGAACTTGAAGTAATTAACCTGTATCCCTATTAAGGCTTTACATATATCTTCAGGAAATGATGGTATTTATCTATTGTATGTATTTTCGCTTTGTCCAGCATACCTATTTTTCTAAGCTATACTAATGATTCCATTAGATTTGTGTTAAGTCTAGTTCTAAAATCAAATGTTACCTCTGTTGTGACGTTACCGCTGCATCTCAAGGCCTACTAGCTTATTTGTATAGTTAAACCAGTACATGCTCGTCTATCCTTGAAAACAGATATGGCAGTTTCATAACAGAGACTATTCTGTTTTGCATATATTTTGACTTGAAATCATTCGTGGAGGCAGAAACTATTCTGAAGAGTTCAATAAATTGGCTAGTTAACTACCTTTCTAATCTTACAAGACAGGTGGCCCTATCTTTGAAGAATACAGGGAAGTAATAATTCAGTTGGAAAGTCAGAAGCAGGTTATCTTTTCCCTCATCCCCAAACCAACACACATACAAACACACAAAAGTCCTGGTTAAATAATGCAAAATGATACTTAATAGACTGATGGAGGATGTCCTCTACATATGGAAGAGATCTCTAGTGGTATTCCAAAAAAAGGTGGGAGGATTGGGGGTGGGGGAAGGTGACAAGAGTGTCTGTCCTCTTTAATATGTTTTTCCTAATGATTTCCAGAAACACATGATACACTTATAAAATTTTCAGTGGAACCTAATAACTGAATGACAGGATCAAGATTTAAAGCCCAGGTTTAAAATTAATAAGATGAATTCACCAGGTAAAAATTAAGTCCTACATTTAGGTTCAAGTAAATAAGCTACATAGATGGAATAGCTAATATGGGAAGAAATGTCCTTTCAGTGAAAAATATTTATGGGTTTAAGTTAACTAACTACAATCTCAATATGAGCTAATAGTATAACTGCCAAAAAAACCCTAACTTAATCTTAGGCTATATTAAAAATAAAAAGATAGTATTCTGGAATAGAATAGTCCTTTCATATACATACAGTGACAGTTAAGACTATGGTACTACATGCTTAGTGCTATAAAAAGTGTTAGATTCTTAAGAAGGACGCTGACAAACTGGAAACATCAAAAGATGGCCAATATTAGAAGCTAATGTTTATATGGTATACTAAGATTTGGCAAAGAGCTTTACATACCCAACAGCTGAAAGAACTAAGAATATTCAGTCTAGCGGAACAGACTTAATAAGGAAAAGATGACTGTGACCCAAATATCTGATGTGCTATTATGAAGAAGACTTATTTGAGAACTAAGTATCAATAAGTAGAAGCTACAAGGAAGCAAATTTCAGTTCAATGTAAAGTAGGATGATTTTGACAATTAAGATAATTCACATTTATATAATGCCTTAAGGTTTATAAAGCACTTTCCCCACAATCTTGGGAAATATAAAGTACAAAATTATGCCCATTTTACAAATGAGGAAGCTGAGGCTCAGAGAGATGAAAAGTTCTACCCCACGATAATACAGCCTAGCTAATTCTAGCTTGGACACTTACTGGCTGTGTCCATGGGTAAATTATTTCACTGCTCTGAGCCTTAGTTTTCTCTCCTGTATAACAGGGAGGTTAGACAAGATGATCTCTAAGGCCCCTTTATAGCATTGTTTCAAAGGGTAAGTGTCATCTAGAAAGTATAAATGCAGGTCTTCTGACTTTTTTTAGTATAATGATAATTGCTAACATTTATACATATGCTTTAAAGTTTGACAAAGCTTTCTATTTATTATCTCATTTGTTCCTAACAACCCTGTGAGGTAGGTCCTCTTATGATCCCCATTTTATAGATGAGGAAACCAAAGGTCAGACAGATAAAGTAGTTGGTCCTGTGGTCACACGTAGGACTGGGATGCAGGACTGTCCTATGTCAATATGCTTTTCATTATTCCAGGTCTCTCCTTAGTTCTAATGAAGTAGTGACCTTAAATGCATATGGAATAGACTACTTTTTAAGGAAGATGACCTCCCTACCTTAACAGGAAGTGTTCAAGCACAGCTTGGAGAGACAATTGTAAGGGGTATTGATTAGGAAACTGTCTTGTAAAGTAGGTTAGGCAAGGTATTACCAAAGATCCCTTCTAACTGTATGACTCTAAGAACACACATTAGCTGCCTTTTATCTAACTTAACTCATGTTAGAAATCTATACAGCATTTATATTCACTTATTTCTCAACATTTATAAGACAACCCCCACTAATGTAGTATATCAGTCTGTTTGAAGTAGGACAAAGTACTCAATGTGAAAATTAAATCCAGAACGTCTAATTGTAATCTTTCAGCAGATGGATTATAGAAAAGAAAAATTATCAATATGACAGTTATAAAGGACAAGGGGAAATATATTCTATATAATTTCCAATACAGACAGTTGATGTATTTATATTATTGCATTATGAAGCCTTTTATTAAGTTCATGAAGTCATCAATTACATAGCACATATCAACTTTAAAAAAAGATTTTTGTGGTATACTCCTAAGTTATTGCTGCCTATTAGTAAGGTTACTTTTCTCATCAGAAGTCAAAAAAAGTAGACTTGATAATATTCTTTTTGCAGGTTCTTAATTTCTAAAGGATGAACATAAGACTATTTTTACAAGTTATGATACAATAGTTAACAAAGCACATGAAGGCTAACAGACTTTTAAAAATACTGACATTTCATTCAAATGCTTACAAAATGTAAATATACTTTGAAAAAATAACTTATGACAAATATGAAAGTACTTTGAGAATTATAAACTGATTTATATATGTTATTTTTAAGTACAGACTACACATGAAAACAAGTTCTTAGTTATACCTAGTTAACTCAAATAATTACAGATTTAATTCCAACTAAAAAAGTTTATTTGGTAAAAGTTACTTACACAATGATGTTGTTAATAGGGATATGGATCAACTTAACAAAAAAGCCAATGAATCCCATTATAGCAAACCCTATTGCTGTTGCCATAGCGATCTTCTGGAATTCTATAATTAAGAACACAGATAACCCATTTTATTTTCTTTATACTTTAAATGGCATAATGAAAAAAAAAACACAATGGTCAAGCATGATGCGTAATACATAACTAATAAACAGATTCACTCTTTTTTTGTTGTTGTTGTTGTTATTTTAGGCAATGGGGTTAAGTGACTCGCCCAGGGTCACACAGCTAGTAAGTGTTATGTGTCTGAGGCTGGATTTGAACTCAAGTCCTCCTGAATCCAGGGCCGGTGCTCTATTCACTGTGCCAGCTAGCTGCCCCGCAGATTCACTCTTCGTTATTGGATGTACAGATTTAAATAAAATGTGAACATAAATTCAAAAACAGTCAATTCTGAGATATCACCTCACATCTAGCACCCTTGCCAATAGATGACAAAGGATGGAGATGGTCAATATTAGTGGGATTATGAAAAAATAGGGACACTAATGACACAAAGTAGGTGGAGCTGTGAATCTGTCCATCCATTCTGGAAATTATGCTAAGTAGTGACTAAAATCTCTGTCTTTTGTCCCAGAAATCTCAATATTTGATATGTATCCCAATAAGTTAAAAAATAGAAAGGTCCCAGATAAAACAAAATACTTAGAGCAGCAAAAAATTGGACCAATGTAGTTGCCTGTAGACTGGTGGAATTGGTTTAACAAATATATAAGAACATAATAAGCCTCTCATCATAAGGAATGAAAAATAGGAAGAATACCGAGATGCAACGTAAACATAATCCGATGAAAAGTGAAGTAAATGGAACCAAGAAAATCATGAATGCAACCACAACAATGCAAATACAAAGAACAAAAACACCTGAAACTGGACACTGATACTGATCCTAAGGGAAAGATATGAGTAGGCCCCTCCCCCTCCCTGTGAACCACTGACTACACTATTCTATGCTGTTGATATGACAGTTAGCTTTGTGGAATTATGTTTTTCTCCTTTTTGATTCTGTGTTACAAGGCAGAAATCTTTTTGGTCTCAGGACCCCGCTACTCTCTTAAAAATTAAAGTCCTCCCCCCGACCCTGAAAAAGAGATCTTGTTAATGTGAATTACAGATATTGATATTTAGCAATATTAGAAATTAAAATGTCTTTGTATTTTTACAAAAATAGTTTTGATTTCATGGACACCCTGAAAGGGTCCCTGGTGCACACTTTGAGAACTGCTGTATAGTTTCAAGTGGTAGAGGAAAATGAAGGTGACATAAAAACAAAAGATCAATAAAATTTAATTTTAAAAAATTAAATAATGAAGTTTGCTCAATTCATTAATTCTTTAGTTTTGCCATAAAACACTTGATACTTTCAGAAAATACAAAAATAATGTTCTTATTAGGATTAGGGATAAATTTTTTGCAATAAGAAAACATATATCCAAATATAAATCCACAAGATGACAGTTTAAAATACTAAAAAAAAATTAGAAATGAAAGGATAGTTTTTAAAAATCAGTACTCATCTGAAAGATTGGTAACAATCAACCAAAAGGTAAGTTTGGATTAGTAAAATTTAGGCAGACAGACCATATTCACATAATTGATAAACAATAAACATAATGTTCTACTTTAGGAAGAAAGGATTTATTAATAGAACAAATTCCATTACACATTCATTGTTTAATCTATTTGTTGTGACTAAAAAAACAAAAAAACCCAACCAATCAAGGTATTCCAGAAAAAGAAATATGGGAAGCAGCTACTTAAAAATTTTATAATAGTTAGATGACAAAAGAGAAGACTTAATGAGAAGGAAGGAAAATCTGGGACTTTATATATCTTTCTTTTATGCTGTAACTAAAAGAGGTATACAGATTGGGGGGAGAGGTAGGTACTTGTAATTGAAACCAGTTAAGTACTCAGGCTAGTAATACTCTGTCCCCAGGAAAGCCTACAAAATACTACAAAAGAGGATGAATAGGGTGAAAAAGGAATTAAAATGTTCAATTGAGAAAAGAATGCCAAGGAAATTCATAAAGATAAAGAAGAGATACAAATAAGGAAAGTTAAAAAAAATACAGGGAGGGTTAAACAAAAGTAAAAGTTAAGCACGTGACTGGCAGCCTTTACCTTTTCTATCTGGCTTGGTACATCTTTTGACAAGTCGAATTGAGTCCTTCACAAACTGCCGACTAGGTTCAACAAATTGCATTACCTGATCCATGACTATCTGTTTAAACAAAGACACAATAAATTAAATTAGTTATATGCCAAACATCTGCTCATTTGGTTAGATCACAGTACTAATGAGGTCACAACTAGGAGGCCAATTAAGATTGAAAAAGGTACTTTAAAGATCAGAGTAGAACTGGAGGTATAGGGGTACAGTTGCAACATGATATCCACTTAGGACCATATGTGCAACTGCCATTATGAAAACCAGCAATGCTTATGAGACCCCAGAATTGGCAGCTAGATGGCACAGTTGATAGAGCACTGGGCCTGGAGTCTGGAAGACCTGAGTTCAAATCAAGCCGAAGACACTAAGCTGTGTAATCTAGAGGCAAGTCACTTACTTACAGTCTGCCTCAGGTTCCCCCCTATAAAATGGGAATAACCACACCTACCCTGAAGGGCTGTTGTGAGGATCAAATACTTGTAAAGCACTCAGCACAGCAGGTGCTCTGTAAATGCTTATTCCCTACCCCCTTTAAGGTCACAGAACTCAGAGACCAGGAGACTTACGGTATAGGTGGGAGGGAGGCGGCAAACCTGGAAAGGGAGTAGAGGAAGCAGGAAGGACTGTTATGATGATTATGCAAAATATCAACTGATATAGAAACAGTGCTTCAGTGGACTGAACCCAAATGAGTTGTGAACTTTAAATGAGTTAACATATGCAAAGCACTTCTGCAAATTTTAAAATGCAATAAAAATGAAAGTCTAATGCTACTGTTATCATTAATGGTTTACAAAGCATTGGATATACATCAGCATAGTACAGTGGGAAAAGCACTGGATTCACAATCAAGGGACCTGAATTTTAATTTGTGATCTGAACACTGCCTCTGTGACCTTGGGCAAATCACTTCAGTATCTGAGTTTCTTTCCTTATCTGTCAAATAAAAGGGTTATACTAGGGGACCTCCAGTCATCTTCCAAGTCTAAATTTATGATCTTAACAGGTTTCTACCAATTATGATTGTAGAATACACTGGAGTCATCAATCACATAGGGTAGGTGTGCATGGGTAAAGAAGAGTGTGGGATAATGTAAACCATCTCCAATGTCAATGTTTACAAGAGGGAGCAAACTCTGAACCTGCTGTGATTAAACTGTTAATTAAGCTCACTGGCTTATTTCATTCATCTGTAAAACTGAGGAGGCTGGACCACATAACCTCTAAAGGGTCTCATCCCACTCCAAAGGCATGAAATTAATAGATTATACACTTTACCTCTTAATGGCTTCTAGCCAAAGATTCCACCATCCTCTGGATTCTATTCCATTTGTAGATGAAATGTGTGCTCCACTCCTACACACTATCTATAAACCAGTGTCTGAAGCCCTGATTAATCACTCAAATTGTAGAGGTATTCCTACCAGAGGACAGGATAAAGGGCCTCCCCTTCCTTTTCAATTAAAATTTTTTTCAAAATATTAATTTCAATATACATTAAAACATGCCATCAATACTTAAAATGAGAGAGCATTCTGTAATCATATCATCATCGTTATTACTTCAATATGAAGCATCCTTCAAGGATTTGTTCTTTCACTGGAATATTTCCTTCACATACGTGGGACTTGGAGTTAGTAAGACTTGGGTTCAAATCTCTAATATTTTTGAAACTGTGGGCAAGTCACTTAACCTCTGAACCTCAGTTTCCACAGATATAGTATAAGGATAACAAGATCTGGCTCATATGTTGGTTGTAAGGCTCAAAAACATAGATGTAAAAAGCTTTGCAAACCTTAAAACACTATATAAAAAAATGCCTATTACCACTGCAGACCAAACCTCTACAATTCAGCAGTCTTAGCTGCTACAGCTAAAAAATGTGCTATCCTGTACCCAAATTGGCCATGAGCCTCTCTGCTCCATTTCTGATAGTTACAATTATTAATGTTGTTACTACTAATATTACTACTGCTACTACTACGAGTTTTTCTAGTTTGACAGGGAAGGAAAAAAGCATTTATATAGCACATACTATGTGCCAGGCACTCTAAGTGTTTTTTACAAATAAGATATTCCATAGGTTGGAATAAGCCAGCATAGCTTTCAAAAACATAGGGTCACTTCTATACCACTATGAAAGAGTAAGGTTTTCTGCAGTATTACTATTCTCTGGAAATCAAAAACAAAAAATTCTCAAAACTATTTTTTTATGGTAAGCAATGGAGTTAAGTGACTTGCCCATGGTCACACAGCTACTAAGTGTGAAGTGTCTGAGGCTAGATTTGAACTCAGGTCCTTCTGACCCCGGCTGGTGCTCTATCCACTGTGTCACCTTGCTGGCCCCTCTCAAAACACCTTGAGAATTACCAGTTTAAAGAACTGGCTGAAGCAAGCCTGGAAATAACCTGGAGTCAAAGCCCATGTAAGGCTTGAAGCCTGGACTCCACAAAATCACTTAGTATTTTATATGTGTGTGTACATGAACACACACATACTGTCCAAGTCTATGAAACCTCATTTTAGGGTTTTCTCAGCAAAGATACTGGAGTGGTTTGCCATTTCCTTCTCCAGCAACCAGGGTCACCCAGCTAGTAAGTGTCTGAGGCCAGATTCGAACTAGTGAAGATGAGTTTTCCTGACTCCAGGCCTGGTGCTCTATCCACTGCCCAACCTAGCTGCCCATACATGTGTGTGTACATGTACATGTATGTATACATGTGTGCATACACACACATTCAGACACTAGCTATGTGGTCTTAGGCAAGTCACTTAACCCTAGGTACCTCAGTTACATCATCCATAAAATGCCCTGGAGAAAGAAATGGCAAACCACTCCAGTATCTTTGCAAAGAAAACCCCAAATGGGGTCACAAGGAGTCAGACAGGACTGAAACGACTCAACAAAAACAAAATATACATGTACACATATATGTGTGCATGGATATATACATATATCCATATGCACACACGTATATATACACCTACACTATATATAGTAAATTACTTTGCATTCATCACAGATAATACAGTAAATGCAAAGCAGTTTTGAATTACATACAAAATATATATACACAGTGTACATATAGTATTACATAGGTAAACTATTTTGTGTATATAATCATTTTATGAGTTTAAGTGTTGCTTTCCCCAAGTACAACCCAAATTTCTTGAGAGGAGAGATTGTTTTTTCCTTCTATGCCCAGAGGGTAGGGAAGAGAAGTGCCTGGCAAAAAGTAGGCTTGCTGAAAGGTTGTTGTTTTTAAATGCTTGTTGAAATGAATGAATTTTGGGAAACTCTGTCCTAGTGTAAACCTGTCTGATAGGCAATATCCTAAAAAAGATGAAAAACTTGGTTCAATCCGTCGCCAAAGAGTGCTACAAGCCAAAGACATCAGTGCTCGGGTTCAGCCTGGAGTCATCCTTATCAGGGAACTTCATACCAGAGAACCTGAGCTTTGGGAGAGACCTCCTAGGTTATTGAGAGCACCCCCTTCACTCTCGGGAGCCGAGTCTCAGCGTGACACGCCTTGCCTCAAGTCACCTATCATTTGGGAGGTGTCCTGGCACCCGCTACCCTAGTTCCCCCTCGGTGACTCCCCCAGCCCCTACACCGCCCAGGAGGCCACAGCCGAGGGACCCCTCTCCCCGCCCCCGTGCCCTGGGGTCGGGGCGGCTGTACCGTGGCGGGAGACGAAAGTCCCCAGGGCAGGCCCACCCCACACAAGGAAGCCACGAAAGAGGCCAAGAGATCGGCGACCCAGGCCTGGGCCCGGAGCCCCCAGCCTTGCAGCAGCAGCGCAGCTCGCCGGTGGCCACCCTCGCCCTCCCGTGCGCAGGGAGGTGGGGAGAGGGCTCTTCGCCGCCACATGGGGCCGTCCTGCTGGTGCGACCGCCCCAAGGGGCTGAAGCCCCGGCCGGGAGGCGGAGGCAGAGATGGAGGTCGGGCCCACCCGGGCCCGGAGTCTCTGTCTACCGCACCGCCCGCGAGCCGCGGCTTCCGGCAGAACCGGCGGCTCGTGGCGGTGGCCCCTTGGCCTAGTGCGCGTCACAAAGAGCCGGGCGCGCGTGGCCCTCGGAGCCCACTGCCCCTCGAGACCCCCTCACCTGCACAACCGATGCTCCAAGCCCAAAGGACACGTAACCACTCAGAGGAAAGCTGACTACCACAGGCGGAACCGGAAGCTGTCAACCATTCCCCCGCCCTCCCAACCGGGTCACGGCTCCAGAGGCAGGCACACGCCTGCGCAGACGCAGAACGAACGCGACGCGGGCCTGCCACGCAGCTCCCGGAAGTTTCACTTAAACCAAATCAGTTGTTGGGGGCGGGTTGCTGTGGCAACCATTCGGGCCCCCCCGCCTAGCATTAGTCCGGTAGTTAGAACTTTTCCCTTTCACCTTCTCGCTTTCATGAATTTTGGCTCCAGGCGGCCTCCGTTCTTTCTCCTTTCTCTGGCGCAGACTCGGAGAGTTTAAATCTCGCGGGGTTTCGCAGCCGCCTGCGCAATTCTTAACGGCTGTGTCTTTAAAGGAAGCTTAGTTTGGGCCCGAAGTTAGGGCCAGCTTTCTCTCTGTTGGCAACTGTTTTTCGATTTCCCGGGAACCTGCCTCCCTGCTTGGGGCAGGCCCCGTTCTCCAGATTATGAAGCTGAGGGGGCTCAAGGCACCCTGCTCTGGGGGGGCGACAGTGCTTGCCTTCGTAGGGGGCAGATCAGGAGCCTGGCCTTGAGCCGAGGTAATGGAAGAACGTCCAGAAGCCTTGGCCCGGGCTGAACAGACCGCACTGGAGACTTGGAGGCGACGTCTGAATTCATGAGACCATAATTTGAGAGCTAGAAAGGACAGTTCTCTCATTTTACGTAAAATAAAACAGGCCTAGAGAGGGGAAGTGACTTGCTCTCTCCATCTCACTCCCATCCCCAAATGAAGGAAGGAAGATGGGCCGGGAACAAGCCTTTATTAAGAGGTGCCAGGCACGGTCCTAAGGAAAGGAAGAGAACATCCATCCCAGGCTGCACGATGGAAGAGGAATGTCTTGATGCCCTGCCTGGATTAATGGGATCAGGCCAAAAAAAAACGATTAAGAGGTTTTTATATGCTGTAAGGTCCGGAGTTCTCCTGGCTTTGGAACCCTCTACCTCCCCCGTAACCGTGGGATATTCTTTTGATGCCAAAGGAAAAGGCCACAGATCTGTAGATGGATCATAGGTAAATACTTACAAACAGGAGCAATCTTCGGTTTGGGGTGATAGACAGTTCTGTGGATCCCCGCTAAGGAACCCCAAAATCCCCATAGTAATTGTAGAAAACACGAAGGCAGGAGGAGCTAGAAAGTGCATCACTACTGATTGGTGGATAGTTTTGGTTTTCTGTTTAGTAATGGGCTTGGGAGTTTAGCCAATGTTACGTCCAAACGTGTTTGTGTATATTGATCATGTCTTGGTCACAGTATTCTTGTTTTGGCTTTCATAGGTCGTAGTATCTTAAGTTTTGACTTAGTGTCTAAAATATGATTGTAAGCAGGTCACCGTGTCTGGCCTCCCACCTTTCACAGAGTTTAAGTTTTTATGGCTTTTCACTTATTACTGTATTTTAGGTTTTGTTTTATTTTTTTCTTTTCCCCAATCAAGACCCCACATATACTAAATGCTTGGGATAAAGAAAAGCAAAAAAAGCTAGTCTCTGTTCTTAAGGAGCTCACAGTCTAATGGGGGGAGACAGATAACTATACAACAAGCTACATACAGGATAAATTGGAGATAATTAAGACACACAATTAATAGCCTACAGGCAGTATTAGCCACACTGGAATTCATAAGACAATAATAGATTTAGAACTGGAACAGACCTAAAGGTCACCTGGAACAGCGGGCCTAGAGGAAGGAGGTGACTTGTCAACAAGGATTAATTAAATGCCTAAAATATGCCAATCACAGGATGAAATGATAATAATGAAATAGTCTTTGCCTTTAAAGAGCTTATATTCTAAAGGATGTACATATATATGTTTAATATATACAAAATGAATACAAAGTAATTTGGGAAGGGAGGGAAGGCAGCAAAAAGGGAGCTCAGGCCAAGAGGGGTAGGAATCAGGAAAGGTTTCATGCAGAAGTGGCAATTGACCCGAGTCAGTAAACAAAACCAAGAATTGTGCTAAGAGCTAGACACACAAAAAAGTCAAAAGCAGGGACTGCTTTCAAGGAGCTCATGTGCCAATGAACCTTGAAGGGAAGCAGAAATGGTCTAGAGGTGGAGGTTAGAAGGAACTGCCTTCTAGGCATAGAGGTCAACCAGTGCAAAGCCAGGGAAAGAGAGGGAAATCTTGTAGGCAGAAGAGCAAATATAGGTAATAACAGAGAAAAGGGTTGAACCTACGTCATAGAATCACAGAAGAGATCTCAGTGACCACCTAGTCTACCTTATACAGTAAAAGGAATCTTCACTGTAACATATCTCTGATATCATCCAGTGAGGGGGAATCCACCAGTCAATCATACAACAACCATTTATTAAATACTATGGGCTAGGCACTAGGATAAGTACTGAAGATGCAAATGCAAACAAAGAGTCACTGCCCTCAAGGAGTTTATTTTCTAATGGAAGAAGACAACACATCAGAGAGGGGATGGTGGCAAAGTCCAGAAAATTAGAAGCAGAGCCAGAACAAGAATGAAGGCTTGCCTGGTCTTTCCCCAAAATGGAGGCCAGGAGGAACTCACCAGTGGGACAGGGGGCCCATTCTACTGCTGAATAGCTTTATTAGGAAGTTGTCTGACATCAAGCCTAAACTGACCCCCACAACTTCTACCTGTGGATCCTATTTTTCTGGACAAACAAAACAAATCTAATTCCTTTTCCATCTGACAGGCCTTTAAATATTTAAAAGACAGCAATAAAATTTCCCCTTTGTCTTTTCTCCAGGATAAACCTCAAATTGTTTTTGTCTGTTTAAATTGATCTGATATGACAAGGCTCTAAAGCAATCAAGGAAGTCTTTACCATCATAGTTATCCTCTGGGATCTCTTCCCTTATCAAACAGTAACTCTCAGAACTGAGCAGTGCTCCAGAAGTGGTCTGACCAAGGCAGAGCACAGACAGACTATCTCCTTAAAAAGAGGGGCCAGGTGGTGGAATGGGATGGGGCATTGATGTCCAGCCAGGAGCAGGGAAGAGGAAGCTGGTGTCTGAAGAAAGGATGGGGGAGAACCATACAAGGCACTTGCTCTACCTTCTCTGCTCTGTGGTACTCCCATTCTGGTGGAGGTAGAGGATAGGCTTCTTGTTGGCTGGTTCCTGTTCCTGATGGAAACTGAACAGCAAGTATTAATTGATAAATACATGGATTTTTCTCAGTCCTCTTTCTTCTTGACCTCTGCACCTTTTAACATTGTTATTCTCAGCTCTCATGACACTGTTGTCTCTTAGTTTTCTTCCCTACATATATTCCACTTCTCAGTCTCCCTTGCTAAATCATTATGTAGCCATGTCCCCACCCCTAATTTTGAGTGTCCAGTAAGGTCCTGTAGAGAGCCTCTCTACTATTTTTCTTTTGGTGATCTCATAAAGTCTCATAGGTTAAATAATCTCTTTATGTGACTCCCAGATCTCTCATATATGGCCCAAATCCTTCTCCTTTACTCTAGTCCTGCATTACCTACAAGGCATCTCCAAGAGGATGTCTCTTAGGCATCTAAAATTTCATCATGTTGAAAATTGAACTCCTCTTCCTTTTGTAAATTATCTTTGTTCGCCTGGTATTTATTAGGCAGGGTTTGGGAATGTTCAGGGAGGACTAACACTTCTGGTATGAGGACTTGCCAAGCTCTTTTTAGGGTTGTTCATCTGTCACCTCTGACTCCAAGAAGCTGTACTACGGCATGCCCAGCCGCCACATCTTGGTAGAACCATCTTGGCGGACTGGCTAAACCAGGTTGAGGGTAGCTGACAGGCCTTAAATCCTTTCGTGAGTTAGGGGGATGTTTACCCCAAGGATTCGAAGACTTCCTCCCCCCACACCCTTCCTGTGGAATAAGTAGATGAGAACAGTTTGTTCCAACTTCCATGAAGGTGGCTGAAGCAGTCACAATTGAGCTCCTGACCAAGGTTGGTCAGACATCAGAAATACCAAGATTATTCACTGCATCACAAGCCACCATCACCAATCATCTTGGCTTTTGTCTTGCCCCTGGGCTTTGATGACTCTGGAAGAGTGAGGCTGATGACTGCAACACTTCCTCACAAAGACATTCATAAATGCCATTGGTCCTCTCTGAAAATGAAAGACAAGCAACAACCTATTAGATACTCAATAAATTCTTACAATATCTTAGGTTTAGGACTAGAAGGTACATAATCCAGTAAGCCTAACCTTTCCTCTCCCCCTGCCCTTTATAAGATAAGAAAACTATGGGCAAGGGAAGTTTAAGTGATTTGCCCATGATTAAACAGCTAGTAAATTTCTGAGGCTTAATTTGAGGATATACACACGCGCACACACACGCACACTTGCTGTCTCTAACCCCAGGTACAAAAATTGCTTGTTATGGCTCTGATATTTGACAGTTTTCTCCCACTGGGACATTCAGGCATAGGACCAGAATCTAGAGTCCTGTGTTTTAACATTTAGGACATTCATCAAGCTGTTTACACCAAACTTTCCCTGATCTATTATGGTTAAAGGAGATGGAGAGCATAAGTTGTTTTTTGGTTTTTTTTTTTTTGGCAGAGCATAAGCAAAACCCAAGAAGGAGATTTGGGTGATTTGACACTTAGGTTGAAGACCTATTCTGAGGAATGCTCTACCAAGTATTTAACCCAATCTATTAGGACCTCATAATCCATAACAAAACCATGCATTTCTTTGGTGTTTCCCTTTGAGACTCAGATATTTCCTTGCCTTCTGTGGAAGATTTTTCGCTGAGCAAATAGGGCAATCTTAATCTCCTACTCCAACTGGGAGAGCACAGGCAAATCTGTGTAGCCTATCTCAGTGTCCTTCAAAATGTATTTAGATATGCTCTCTCCTTTCATGGCCCACTCTGCTTGTTTGGGAAGATTTGATCAGGGTGAGATAGTCGCAAGGGCATCTGTTGGCAAGGCAATCTGAACCTTTCCGACTGGCTGCATCCCACATCACTGCCACGGCTGTTCCAGATCTGAATAAGGCTCCTCCAAGTCTGTGTTCTCAATCTTGGATGTGGCTCTTTTCCAAGTTATATAAAGAATAACTTTTATTTGATGACTGTCTCCATAGCCCAGAGAAGAACCCCCTAATAGAGGGGGTGAGGTGGTCAAGGCAAAACTTTTTAAGATGCAGTACAAGTGCTCAATTTGCTCTCTGGACTCACTAGAACAGTTTAAGTTTAAATTTAAGTTTTCCTTGTTGGTACTCACATGAGGGTACCCTCTGGGTCTTGTAAAATTAATTTCTCCGTAGTAGGGGTGAATGGCTTTTGTGAATTAGTCCAGGTTACTAGGCCAGGCCTATGATTCATAAACTGAAGGCTGTCTCTAGCTGTGGAAGAGTCTCCACGCTGTACCTATTTGGAGTATATGCCCTGGTCTTAGGGCTCTCTTAGCGCCATGGTTTAGTGCTGTTGCTCCATCATTCCGCAGAGTAGGTATGAATCTCAAAAGAGTTGTTAGCAGATGCTGTTTCTCATTTTGGTTTGGAGGTTGGCAAAGTAGCATAATCATTGTTTCTACTCTTACCTTTGCGTTGTAATTTTATTCATTCATACAGTGTGCCCAGCAATAGACTGAAGTCATGAAGAGACAGACTGTCTCAGAGGGGGCAAGAACCCTTGCTGTCTGGGAGGTGGAGGCCAACAGATAACTTGGCATGTTAATCAACCGCATGTTGTGGTTAAAGGAGATTACAACATTAAAGTTTTGAGCTTGGGTGACTTAGTAGAGTGGTGACAACACTTAAAGTAGATAAGGACCATGATGGATTCTAGGCAGAAAATTTCTTCTTTAAAAAAAAAATCATATAACTACTTTTTTTTTCTCTGAAATCTGTTGCTCTTCTTCAGCTTACCTAAGTACCTTCCCATGACCTTCCCATGTGACACTCCCCCCCCACCCCCAGTCCTCTCTGTTTTCTCTTGCCTGTGAAAACTAACCTATCCAAGATCTAAAGCTGGAAGGTAACTCAGAGGCCATCTAGTCCAATTCTCTCATTTTGTAAGGAAAATAGGGGACCAGAGGAGGTTAAACAGCTTGCCCAAGGTTGCTCTGTAAGCACAAAAGTTGGAATTTGAAACTGAGTCCTCCAGAGCCAGTTTCTCTTTCTTGGGGTACCATGCTGCCTGAGGCCTTGCCCTCAGCTAGCCGGCAAAGTTAGCATGTGATCTGATCCTCTGGCAAAATGTTACCTCTTTGACCACTACTTATATTTTCTTAAGGGAGTCTTGAGAACTCAAGTCTTTACTCACAGGAACAAATATTTAACACACAACAGGCTAGTAGAAGAGAAACTTTTGAGAGTGTTAACCTTCCAAATCATGCCATGTAGGCAGCTTCCTATTTACTGCATATAAAAGTAGGGTAAATATATGTCCTTATCTAAGGAAGAAAATAAAACAAAATTTATCAACGGGTTTATTTTAAGATATAAATGTTGTCATTATGGCTCTGCCATTTGAGAAACATTAAACCTCTTAAAAATGAATTTGTTTCTCCAACCCATGGTGCTCCTTTAATTTAGGTAGAACCTCATTAATGCATTTTACATTTTGCTTATGTTTCTGTTTCTGTCTCTATTTGTGTCTCTCTCACTCTCATTTTCCCTCTCCCGTTCTCCTACTGTCATATATGTACTGGTTACTGCATAAATGTGAAAAAGCTCTCAATTGTTCTTTATTTTTGATATACATATATATGTATGATAGTACAGAGAATAGTAAATCAGGAGATGAGATTCTGCCACTAGCAAGATGGCAGATCACTTGGTTCTGAGCCTGAGTCTCATCTGTAGAAAGAGGGAAGTACGCAGGATGATCTCTAGCTTGATTTCTTATTACCCTCACATTCTGAGCTGTGAAACTTTAATATGTAGTCCAGGTTGTGGTAACTTATTTCACAAATGCCATCTAGTTCATCGCAAGAAATTCCAACTCCCAAATCAGTGCATTTTCATTTGCTGTCCCCCATGCCTGCCATGGACTTCCCTCCTTGTTTCTGCCTCCTGGCCTCCCTGACTTTCTTCAAATCTTATTTAAAACTCACTTTCTGTGAGACTTTCCTGTTATCCTCTCAATGTTAATGCCTTCCCCCTGAAATTGCCTTTAATTTATCCTGCATGTATTTTGTTTGTACATAGTTGTCTGCGTATTGTCCCCCTCATTAGTCCTTGAAAAAGCTTTTTTTTTTTTTTGCTTTCCTTCTTATTCCCTTTTTATTCTAAGCTTAACACTTAGGCTGGCATATAGTAAGCACTTAATGCTTGATTGGTTTTTTGCATAGACCTCTCTGCCACATTTTCCCAAGGTATGTATAGTTAGAAACAACTTTCATTGCTTATAAAATTTAAAAGACCTAAAAACAGAGAGTGCCCAGGCTTTTCTCTATAAACTTTAAAAAACAAGTCCAAAAAACACCTTTTGATCTTACTTAATGTTCCCAATTCCTTTTGTGTTAATGTTCATACTTTAGCACTTAGTGGCTTTTGACTAGACCTTTAAGCTGTGTTCAAATTGCAAATCTTTCTCGTTTTCATATAGAAGAGCTCTAATATCCCCTGGATAGATAGATAGATAGATAGATAGATAGATAGATAGATAGATAGATAGATAGATTGATTGATTCACTCATAGAGCTTTACACTATGAGTGAAGATGTTTGGTTTTGTTTTACTGAAGGAAATTCCCACAGGAAGGAAGAAAACAAGCATTTATTAAAATTTACTATACTAAGTATCAGGGATATAAATACAAGCTAAAGAAGGAATAGTTCCTAACCCCTCAAGAAGCTTACGTCCTATTAGGGAAAGACAGCACACAAAAGGTAGATGGAAAGTGGAGGGAGGGAGTTGGTAGGTGGGAGGTGGGAGGGGAGAAGGAAAAAGTATCTAGTATGGTTTTGTCAAGGACAAGGCAGGAAGAGAATGAAGATAGACTGGCCTTGACTCTTCCACAAAATAGAAGCTCCTAGAGGAACTCGCCAATGGGAGAAGCTGGGGTAAGCTTTGTAGGGGGATATTCCTGTGGAGAGGGGGTTCAGTTATAGGTCCCAAAGGCTATTCTAGGGCAAGGTGCTGAGGGGAGTTCCTGGGTGAGCCAGCAGTAGAGAAGTCATGGAGTTTTTAAAAAATTGCCCAGGGTCACACAGTTAGTAAGTGTCAAGTTTTTGGTTCCGGATTTGAACTCAGGTGCTCCTGACTTCAGGGCTGGTGCTTTATCCACTGTGCCACCTAGGTGCCCCAGAAGTCTTGGTTTTGAAGCCCAAAATGTTAGGAATAGTCCTGGAGAAAAATGACTACCCCACAGTTTTATGAAGTTTATCCTCCTCCTCCAAAGCCCTAATCTGATAACTCATCCTTGTGTGGAGATGACACTGGGTTCTCAAAGGCCAAGGCAATGAAAGCCCTACTACTTCTTACCAGGCTGGAATGACCTGGCAATAGATTTTAGCAACTTGGCTAAGTCTGTAAAGAGTCATCACTACATGATATACTTTGCCCCATTTTTTTAAACCTAGCCTTAAGCACTGAATGGGTGTTGCCCCAGTCAAACAGACCTGCTAAAGACCTTGGCTTTAAAAGACCCAAGGTCCTCCAAGACATCTGGAGCCATCTCCAGTCATCCTGATGTATATGTTGTATATATGTGTATATGTGTATAACATAAAAGCCCAGTTGGCTCCAGAGGAGAAAGTGAGGCTGGTGACTTTGCATAGCCTTCTCTCACTTAATTCCAATTCACTTGCATGTCATGGCATCATCTCCATGATGTCATGACCTCTTCAAGAATGAAGGACAAACAACAACAAAAAAACAGTCTTCCACTATCTTCCAAAATCTGGCCAAGGTCATGCTCTTTGCTTCCATGACACTATCCATTTCATCCTCTGCAGTCCCCTTTTCCTTTTGCCTTCAACCTTTCCCAACATGAGGGTCTTTTCTAGCGAGTCCTGTCTTCTCAATATGTGCCCAAAGTATTTAAGCTTCAGTTTCAGTATTTGGCCTCCCATCTGAATTGACTGATTTGATCTCCTTAATCTCTGGTTCCTCTATAAAGGAAAGCCTTGGGAAGAATATATTGCTCCACCTCCAGAGTTGAAAAGGCGTTCAGTATCAAAAACTGAGTCATTCAGCATAGTGATGAACTCATCCTGTGAGAGCCAAGCAAAGCTGCTGATGGACAAGCTAGTGAAGTAAGTGCTGTTGACTCCATTTTGCAGTTGAGAAAACTGAGGCTGAGAGGTCAAGTCAGGCCAGGACTGTGGCCAGGGTCACATAGCTAGTAAGTGAGGCAGCATTCAAACTCAGGTCTTTCTGATTCCAGAACCAAGTCTATCTTTTATATAATCTAAATATTTACATAGTGTATGAACTGCAAGTAGGGGAGCAGAATTGATCCAGGATGAAAACAGAATTAAAAGAAATCTGTCCCAGAAACACTAGCAATAACTTTCTATTTATAGGCCGTACTATTATTAGACAGAGGCCACAAGATGTTCCTCTCCCCTTTCTTAGTGAATTATGGTCCTTGAAAAATTAACTTGGCTTATATGGAAAAGAAGTGGAACAGAGGTATACTAGACGGCTAAATGAATTCAATAGTCAAGAACATTGTAAGGGACCTTGTAAGTGATAAAGAAAGATTGACTGCAAAGCTGTTTGTGAGCAAAAAGGAAAAAAAAAAGATTTGAGGAAGGAGATTGGTTCAGAGCAAAGAAAAACACAAAGAAACTTTAATACCGACGTACGTGTGTGTGTGTGTGTGTGTATCTGTATGTATGTATGTAAATATACTCTCTTTGAGGCCTTGGATAAGGCACTAAGTCGCCTGTAAAATGAGGCATTTAGACTCGATGGGCTCTGAAGTCTCTGAGTTCTAGCTCTGCAATCCTGTGTCTGTGCCTTGAGAAGAGGCACTAGCAGGACAATGCTCGTTTGTAATGACATACAGGGATTAAAGTAAAGGGGAGAATAGTCAAATGGGACCAGGACAGACTTATTCCCCCACCCCCACCCCTGAGCCAGAGAGAGCCATTGGTTTGTTAGTAGATAGATTCCTTTGCGTGTATCTTGTAGGGTGTAATTGCTATGATCTAGTCTACAATTTCGCACCCCCCCCAAAAAAAAATTCTGCTCTCTGTAGAGCCTTGCAGAATTTGGTGTTTGTTAGCATATAGATTTTTCTGAAAACTATCCACATGGATCTGTTCACACAGAGTAAGATTTCAGGGCCTACAACTTTTATAACATCTCTTGAATACACCTCTTTCTCTCCTCTGACATTGCCTCCACCTTAGTGCAGGCCCTTATCACTTCACACCTGGATTATTGAATTAGCCCTCTGGTTTATCTGCCTGCCACAAGTCTCTCCCCACTCCTGTCCTCCCTCTACTCAGCTGTCAATCACTCGTCCACCCATGTTATTCCCTCCCTCAACTAAATAAATTCCATTAGCTTCCTGTTGCCACCAGGATCAAATATAAAATTATTTGTTTGGCATTCAAATCCCTTCATGACTGCCCCTCCTCTGCACAGTCTTTCTAGTCTTTTCACCCTTTAACATCCCTCATGTGCTCTGCATTCCAGTGACACTGGCCTTGCTAGTCTTTAAAAGACACTTCATCTTCTGACTCTGGACATTTTCACTGGATTTGCCCTGTGCTTGGCATCCTTTCCCTCCTCATCTTCACTCCTGGCTTCCCTGGCATTCTTCACGTCCCAACTAAAATCCCACTTTCTGTAGGAAACCTCTTCCTTTAGTTGATTATTGCCAATATATTGTTTCCTTGTTCATAGCTGTTTGCATATCGACTTCCCCATTGTACTATAAGCTCTTTCTAAGCAGGGAGTGTTTTTTGTTTTGTTTTGTTTTCCTTTCCCTGTATACATAGCCCATAGCACAGTGCCTGGCACATAGGTACTTAATAAATGTTTTCGAATGACTGTCTTCATTCTGGAGATGACTGGGGACTA